TATTAAAATAAATTAGGATTTGCTTCATCTGTTACTCTCCATTCCTCAGGAAATGAAAATACACCATTTATAACAAAATTCATCTTGATATTTGTTTTTCTAGCTGGCAATCTTTCGAGAAGTTTTAATTCATTCATGATAATTATTATAAATAAAAAAAATTTCAAATACTAAAAATTGTCCAATTCCTAATTAGATATTATCCAAATTCAAAGATTTAATTGCAAAATTAAATTTGATGCAATAGAAGGCTAGATTCTGGAAAAATAAATTAGTTTTAATAAAATTTTGTAAGGAAGAAATAATATTTCTATTGTAAGCCAGTTTTAATTCACTTATATAGTATTAGGATAACAAATTAGCAAAAATGGCAAGATATAAATCTAAAGAAGATATTCTTTAAATTTTAAAGTAGCTAAATATTTTTTCAGTTATCTATAGAGATGATTAAATTATTGAATTCAAACAAAAAAATATTTCATGTATTTTCTATTTACATTTGTTTCAATTATCATATTTAACATATTTATATTTATATTTAGATAAAGAAATAAAGAAATAAATATTGTTATTTAAATAAGAAAAATAGTTTTGATAATAATGGATCCAGTTTTATTTATGAAATATAGAAGTTAATCTAGTTTAAGTATTTAAAGTAGTCCAAAATAAATAATAATGAATAAAGGAAAAAATAAAAAGATGGTAAATGTTTCTGTAAGTAATGATTATGATTTAAAATAATCTTATTCAATATTAAAATTATAAATGGAAGATGATGGAAAAGTAAGTATTTCAACAAATAGAAGATTGATTAGAACATTTTCAGGTAAAATAATGAAAAATTCATAATAATAATAATAATAATAATAATAATAATAATAATAATAATAATAATAATTATAATTATAATCAGTTTAAAACTTTTTTCATCCAGTATTTAAAATACCTACTCCTTTACATTAAATAAGTTTAAAGAAATAAATAAAATCAATTATTGTTAAAATACCAGATAAAACTATTCCTAAAAAATAAAATGCTACAAGTGAATTAATTAGAAAAAAAATATTAAATGCATAAAGAAAAAGTTCTATTTTAACTAAATATATTCCTACTAAAATATCTATTGAACCTAAATTATCATATTAAAAGTATATTTTTTATTTTTATCTATTTTAGATTATTTTAATCATCTAATTAATATAATAATCATCATCATAATCATAATAATTCAATTACTTTTGATTCACATTATATTTGATATCTATATTTATATAATATTCTATTTATTATCAAATATATATATAACATATATTTAATAGTACAAAGTTAATTCTTTTATATTTAAAATTAAAATTGAATATTATTAATAAAAAAATACTTATTGTAATATATGTATATTTATATACTCTTCATTGATATCAAATCAAATTCAAGAGTTTCTTTATTTTTGATATTTTGTATTCTAATGAATCCTCTTCTTTCCAATCGAAAAAATCAAAATCTATGACATTTTGAGTTTCAAGTGCTTTCAAATGTCTTTATTTATGTATGACAATACCTATATTGCATCACCGTGTTAAATGATTTTTATTTAATTTATCCATCCAAAGTTGATATAAAATGTAGTGGCCCATTACAATTAATTACATAATTGTCCATCACTTTAAAATCAATATCATAAATAAGAACTTTTTAAAATTTAAGGAATTTTAATTACAATTTTTATAGTATCTAAATAATTTCAGCTTCTAAAAGAGTTTAAGTTCGACTAATAGAATCCTCTCTTAATCTTAAAAGATAAGGAAAATTTTCATTTTCAAAATAATCAATTGATACTCCAATTTTTTTTCTTTGAAGGATTTATCTACATACTTAATAATCTCTCTTTAGAAATTAGAAATACATTTAAAAAGGAGTATTCGGATTACAGGAGAGTTGATTTAAAGGTTAATTGATAATTTCAGGATAAAGATTAAACATCATTTAAGCAAATTAGAATGTAAATTTAGACAAATATATATGTTTTTATTATTTTCCAAGTTTGTAATATAAAATATCTAGAAGTTTAATGAGATGTTCTTCTTAAAATAAACCAATTTAATATAAATTGCTAGCAATATGCAAGTATTATACATAATCTTAGATTACAATAGTAGTTAAATTATGAGTCATAGCATCACAAGCTTTAGATGACCAATAATTGTTCTGTCTTCCCAATTTGTATAAGCAATGTTAGATAGAATGAAATTATTTAAGAGTGATTTAATCTTCTTAGTCTTTCAATTATTTTAAAATAGATGAAACAATCTTTTCATCATCAAGTAATACATTACTCATTGCTAAAAATGCTTAAATTAAAGTAGGTATATCCATAGCCATATCTTCTATACGATCTCTAATTTAAATCAAGCAATTTTATGAAAATTCCTTAACAATATTTCCACAATTTCTTCTTTCGTGAAATCCTGCAATGAAAATCAATTTATATAAAAGTTCATCATTAGAGTCATTTTTCAATCGTTAGGTTAGAAAATAATTGGAATTAGTGATTAAGTGTTTGAATAATTCAAGTGGAGTGGCAAATTGATATTTATTTTGCAAAAATATCCTTGCCGTATTAAATATTGGATTATTCATTGGATTAGATATTAATAAATTATTGTTATAAACTTAAATTATAAAAGTAGTTAAAAAATTTTATATACCCACATTCATCTACTTCATAGCTTTTTCATGCTAGAGCTAATTACGAATTTGGCTTTGATAGGAGAGATAAACTTTGGAGCAAAAACAGGTACACTCAATTAAGGATTTTCTTATACTATTGTTCTTTAACTCATTGAATAGGATCTTTAGAAACTATTATTTATAGAAGATGGTTATCCAGAAATCTAAGATTCATTCTCTTCTAATATAATTGATTGCTATTTTTATAATTGATTGTGATCTTATTCAACTAATTCTTTTTGAGATTCTTAACTTTTTAAGCTTTATCTTCTCTTCCATTCTTCATAATAAGGATTAACTTTTTTCTAAGTTTTTTCTACAATGACTGATTAGGATAACTTTGAGTCATATTGTCTCTTTTTTTCAACATCAAAAGAAAATGATTAAAATTTTGTATCTCCTTAATTATTTAATTATTGATCATTTGTTTATGTTAGATAGGCAGGTAGGATATTAAAATTTTTGGATTCTGTCTTCTTTTATTATTCCTATTTTTATTATTTTTCAAGCCATGCTGAATAATAAGGGTTTGTTGACTTTTTAGGATTAGAAACTAAAATTTCACTTTAAGTTTTTCGATCATCATTTTTTTCTCGTCTTAATTTTTCAACTTCAGCTTATTGTCTTTTTAATTCTTCAATTTCAGATTATTTCCATTATTTTATTAGTTTCTACTATTTTTATTTTTGTATCATTAGTATTTCTTATTATGTTGGTATGAGTAAAAATTAAGATTTAACACTGCTTGTCATAGATTGATTTAATTTACTCATAGATTGATTTAATCTATCTTCTTATTATTGAGCTTTAGGTTTAACAGATTATGATTTTTATTGAAGTTTTTTCTCACAATCAATTTTTTAAGGAGTATTTTTTTGAGATTTATTTGTCACGATAGATTGCGAAAGATTTGTTGATTTTGAGCCTAACATAGATTATTATTATTAGCATTATTATTAAATTGGTTTGTTCTCTATTATTCCACATTTATACCGTTCTAATGTTTATAATGCTGATTAACTATGTTTATGTATGGCTGGATTGAAAAAGATCTATAATCTAATCATAAAGTTATACATTTTCTAAATCTCTACCTTTATATGTATTTAAAGGACCTCTTCCTCCAGGATGTTTATCTATGAAATCCGTCAAATCATAAACTGAGTTATGATAAACATAGAGTAATCTTTTTTCAAACTGTTATACTTATCAATATTACCTATTTGATTTTGATTGCTCAATCTAAAAGGCAGCAAAGGAAGGGTAACTTTTAAAGCTTTTATTCATATTAATAAAAATTATGATCATAAATCTTGATAATGAACATATACAAATGATTTAAAATTAAGTTTATTATGCTTTTATTTCATTCAATACTATATCATCAAAAAACATTATCAATCTAATTATATTATATTTGAATTTCAATTATCAAGAAAATACAGAAGTAAGAAAAAGAATACAAACTTTTAAGTATTTTATATCTTATATATATACACTTAATTAGAGATACTAATATTATTTTAATTAAACAGATTAATATAATATCATTGAAATAAAAATCAAGCTCATTAATTGAGTATTCATAGTATTTAAATAGATAAAAATATCTTTTATTTAGTATATATAAATTAGAATATATTTTAAAAGATATATGTAATTTAGAGGTGGAAAGTGAGTGAATCAAAGATTAAGTACATATATTAGAGAATTAATATATAAAAATAGGATATTAGTATTAAGAATCTTTATATTTATTGATGATTTTTGTAAAGAGATTATTAAATTTATTTGCATAATTCCTATTATATAATTATTAAATTATGCTAATGAATAATTGAATTCAAATACCGATATGATGTGGTGATGTGAAATTTAAATTTTTATTTTTTTATGAATCCATTAAGGCCAATAAGAGTTTAAGAGGCATACCGCTTTTCTTAATTGGGTGTTAGTCAAACCAATTTCAAATTTGGTTAAATTTTCTTCGAATCAGATAAATATATCACAATCAGAGAGACAGCACCAAATGGAGACACTTAATTATTGCAATTCAATTTTGAGACAAAACAATTGATTTCTCGTAAGCCAAACAAGGCAGACTCTGCTATAATGCATCCAGAAAAGAATATTATAGCCCTAAGAGCAGCAGGTGAATAGCCAAATTCAACCGTGATCTAAATCTTCAATTTGGATGAGAAATAGAGAATAAAAAATGTTGAAGTGAATGAGACTATAGTATTTTGGAGATGGGTAAACCAATAAAAATTAGCATACGTTACTCCAACAGCAGTTTATCACATCAATATTACAAACCCTGGTGAATAATAAGTTAAGGTTATGGATAGGTAACATATAAAATCATAATAAAATTAGATCTGGGGCATTATCATCAGAGAATCCAGTATAAATCATTGGATATGGATTAGAAGGAAATGAAAAATGGTGTGCATTATATGGTATTTCAACACCAGATGGAGGTAGAACAATTAATGGCCACATTCAATTATTTTTGATCGAATAAGCAAAATAATAAATCTTAGAAGGACATTGTTGTTGTTTTGGAGATGCTTTGATTCATACAGATGACTATAAAAGCAGTTTATTCTGTTTTGTAGAGAGAAAGTCTGGTGAAACAACAAGCAGATTACATATCTCAGAAATTGGAGTACCACCTAATGGATTCTAAAAATACAAAAGATAAGTTGAAGTTTAAACTGATCCAAATTATCCAACAGATTTCCCAGTCTTAATGCATATCAATTAAAGATATGGATTGATCTATGTAATAAGCAAATATTCATTTTTGACTGTATATGAATTAAGCACAGCTAGTTTGATATTTAGAGAAGTATAATCTAATATTTATAATCTATTAGAGAATCTGCAATGAAAATGTCTTTGTAGGTGCCCCAAATGTAAATCAAGGATAATATCATATTATTGGTAAGGAAGGTATAGTTTATACCATTTCTGTAAATGATGACTAATTAGTGTCTTTCTTAATTAATACTTGCAGACATATTCCAGATGTTATTCAATTGGGATTCCGTTTGGCTAGTAGATATAAGCTTCCTGGAGCAGAAAATATGTTTGTTGATTAATTCAATAAAGCTATTTTAACTGGTGATGCTTAAAGTGCTGCTAAAATTGCTGCTAGTGCTCCTGGAACAGTTCTTAGAAATCCAGAAAGTATTGCTAAATTCAAATAAATGTAATAATAACCAGGATAACCTTAACCACTTATTATTTATTTCCAAACTTTGTTAGAAAAAGGAACATTAAATAAATTTGAAGCTATAGAATTGTGTGGACCAATTTTATAATAAGGAAGAAAATAATTCGTTGAATAATGGATTGCTTAAAATAAATTAGAACCATCAGATGAATTGGGAGATCTCTTAAAAAAATATGATGTCAATTTAGCTATTCAAATCTATAAATTATCTAAATCATATTAAAAATTAGCATAATGTTATATGGAAACTGGATAAATTGAATTAGCTATGCAATTACAATAATAATTTGGAGTATCAACAGATTATATGGCTATGTTAAGAAATATTATGATGTAATCTCCAGAACAAGCCTTAGCTATGGCTAAATCTTTATATCAAAGAGACTAAAGCATCAATGTTCATTAAATTGCAGAATTATTTGAATAATTCTAAAGATTACCAGAAATGACAGCCTTCTTAGTTGAGTGTATGAAAAACAATAGAGCAGAAGATGGACCACTCTAAACTAAAGTTTTATGCTTGAATTTATAAGCTGCCGCTCAAGTTGCTGATGCCATCTTATCAATGAACATCTGGACATAATTTGATAGAATTAGAGTTGCCTAACTATGTGAATAAAAAGGCCTTTATCAAAGAGCTCTTGAAAATTATTCTGATCCTAAAGATGTTAAAAGAGTTATTCTTAATACTCATGCTCTCCCTCCTGAATTCCTTATCAATTTCCTATCCAGAGTTGATCCTGCATTAACATTATAATGCCTTTAAGATTTATTAAGACACAATAGATAGAACTTATAAGTTGTTGTTAATGTTGCAGTTTAAAATAATTAAAGATTAACAATTCCTGCCTGCATAAAGGTATTTGAATCAGTTAGTGCATTTGAAGGAGTCTACTTATTTTTAGGATCTTTGATTAATACAACATCTGATAAGGATATCTATTATAAATATATTGAAGCTGCTGCTAAATGCAATTAAATTAAAGAATTAGAGAGGGTTATTACAGAAAAAGGAGATTGTTATGATGCAGACAAAGTTAAAAATTATTTGAAAGAATAAAAATTATCTGATCCAAGACCATTGATATTCTTATGCGATATGAATGGATTTGTTGATGAATTGACTAGATATCTACATAAAAATGGATTCACTAGATATATTGAAATCTACATTTTCAAAGTAAATCCTAATGCTGCTCCTGCAGTTTTTGGTACATTAATTGATTTAGAATGTGATGAAGTTTATTTGAAGTAATTGTTGTATAACATCCGTGGAATGTGTCCAATTGAACCAACTGTTGAAGAATTTGAAAAAAGAAATAAACTTAGAGTTTTAGAATAATGGCTTGAAGCTAGAGTTACTGAAGGCAATCAAATTCCAGCCATTCACAATGCATTAGCTAAAATAAAGATTGATACATCATAAGATCCTGATGGATTTTTGATTAATAATCAATTTTATGATGCAAAGGCTGTTGGTAAATTCTGTGAAGAAAGAGATCCATAATTAGCAGTTCTAGCTTATAAAAGAGCATGGGGACAATGTGATTAAGAATTGATTAATTTAACAAATAAAAATGAAATGTACAGAGTCTAAGCCAAATATCTAGTAGAGAGATAAGATGTTGATTTATGGGCTGGAGTATTATAAGAAACAAATCCACATAGAAAAAATTTGATTGACTATGTAATTTAAGCATTACAAGACTCAAAAAATGTTGATGAAGTTTAAGCAGCTGTCAAAGCATTTGTATTGGCCAAAATTCCTTATGAATTATTAGGTTTATTAGAGAAATTAGTATTACATAATCCTGAATTCATGTAATATAAATAATTATAAAATTTGTTAATTATTACAGCCATTCAAAGTGATACAAGCAAAGTGTTGGATTACATTAATAGATTGGATAAATTTGATCCATAAATTATAGCATAACATTGTTTGAATGAAGAATATAGATTGTATGAAGAAGCTTATGCTGTCTTTAAGAAATTTAATTTACATATTGAAGCTGTTAATGTATTACTCAGAAATTTGGGTAGCATTCCAAGAGCTCATGAATATGCTTAATTTGCTAGTTCACCTGAAGTTTGGTCATTGTTAGCTGAGGCTTACTTTAATTAAGGATAAACCAATGAATCAATTGATTGTTATATTAAGGCTAATGATTCAAGTGCATTCTTGAATATAATTAATGTGGCTGAATAAGAAGAGAAATATGAATTATTGGTCAAATATTTATTAATGTGTAGATAAACAGTTAAGGATGTAAATATTGATAATTCATTAATTTATTGTTATGCTAAATTAGATAAGAATTTAGATATTGAATCTTTAATTTAATCAAGCAATTCAGCTGATTTAATTAAAGTAGGAGAGAGATGTTATGATTAATAATTATATGAAGCAGCTAAGATCTTATTTACAGCACTTAAAAATAATGCAAGAATAGCATCTTGTTTGGTTAGATTGAAATAATTTAATAAAGCAATTGAAGCAGCTTAAAAGGCTAATACATCAAAGACATGGAAAGAATTATGTTTTGCTTGTGTTGAAGCATCTGAATTTAAATATGCTTC